TCAGTGCAGAACTAAACTGAGTCAATGTAATTCTCGGCACATCATCCCCAAAGCAAGACCATGAGCTGCAAAAACAAAACACACAAACACAAAAACAAACCCAAAAAACACCCCGGATAATTTTTTTTTTGTTTTGTTTTTTCGGGGGTTTTCTGAAAGCAAACAAACAAACAAACAAACAAACAAAAAATGCAGAAATAAGCTTGGGTTGCCTCCCAAGAAGCGCTATTTTTAACGTCGTTTGCCCGACGCAACTTCCTCATACGCTCTCAAATAGCAAAGACTGTAATGGTGCACTAGTAATCAACGTTTTCACCTTCCCCTCAACAAATGCCGTTAGGTGGCGCAGATTCTTAAATTCTCGAATATGCGTAGGCAGCACATGGTCTTCATAACCCTCATCAGCACAGAAGAGAAGTATGAAACTCTCATCCTCTTCAGGTGGATAGGGAACATGAGTGAGAACTTTGATTACTCTAGGTATCACCGGAAGCTCAAAAGATGTCTCAAAGCAAAGATTAGGAGCAACACCGTGATCGAAGTGCACCATAGAAAAGTCTTCTTCTTCCTCACAAATATCATGAACATTCACAACCTCTCTTCTTATTAATATCCTCCAAGCAGTTGTGATCATTCTCCACACACAAAGAAATATCATCACCACGGAATGGATCAAAGAAATCCAAATCTGAAACCACGTAAGAGTGGACCGGTGCATGTGTACAAGAGGAGAATTCTTGCTTGTGGACCAGGACTTCTTCATTATGGACATCATCTACCTCGCCCCCACTCTCTTGGAGCATGTGATCATCTTTTCCCAACTCATCTTCAATACCCAAACCTACCTCAGTAGCACCATCTGTAACACCCCGACCCCGCAGGACCCGAGGTAGTTACTCCGGACCAATAGTACTGTCCCCACAAACCACCACGAGCCTTTACCGCGCACTTTGTCCTCACTCATGCGCGCCCTGAGAAACTTCCCAGGGGGTCACCCATCCCAAGACTACTCCCGTGCGAGCACGCTTAACTTTGGAGTTCTTGGGTAATGAGCTCCCTTAAAAGGAGATGCACCTCTGTTGGTATGAGTAGTACTATTAATCCTCTTAAATTAATCTCGGGTATTACAATCACCCCCACTTAGGATCGCAACGTCCTCGTTGCGCCCTTAAACCAATCTCAATCACACCCCAGAATCTTTTCCCCTGCTAAGTGTCCGCCCGATATCCAACGGATCAGCACACTGTCGCAGGGTTGCTCTGATACCACCTGTAACACCCCGGCCCCGCAGGACCCGAGGTAGTTACTCCGGACCAATAGTACTGTCCCCACAAACCACCACGAGCCTTTACCGCGCACTTTGTCCTCACTCATGCGCGCCCTGAGAAACTTCCCAGGGGGTCACCCATCCCAAGACTACTCCCGTGCGAGCACGCTTAACTTTGGAGTTCTTGGGTAATGAGCTCCCTTAAAAGGAGATGCACCTCTGTTGGTATGAGTAGTACTATTAATCCTCTTAAATTAATCTCGGGTATTACAATCACCCCCACTTAGGATCGCAACGTCCTCGTTGCGCCCTTAAACCAATCTCAATCACACCCCAGAATCTTTTCCCCTGCTAAGTGTCCGCCCGATATCCAACGGATCAGCACACTGTCGCAGGGTTGCTCTGATACCACCTGTAACACCCCGGCCCCGCAGGACCCGAGGTAGTTACTCCGGACCAATAGTACTGTCCCCACAAACCACCACGAGCCTTTACCGCGCACTTTGTCCTCACTCATGCGCGCCCTGAGAAACTTCCCAGGGGGTCACCCATCCCAAGACTACTCCCGTGCGAGCACGCTTAACTTTGGAGTTCTTGGGTAATGAGCTCCCTTAAAAGGAGATGCACCTCTGTTGGTATGAGTAGTACTATTAATCCTCTTAAATTAATCTCGGGTATTACACCATCATCGTGACTAATCTGCTCCTTGCCCTGCTCGTTAGGTGTTGAGACTAATGGTAAATCAAATGGCTGAGGAGTTTCTATATGAAAATCGCGGTGATTAGTGACTTCATTAGTTACAACTTGTACCGTTTCAAACTTTTTCTTGTATTCTTCGAAAAACAACTTGATACTATTATCTTCTTCTTCGTCTCCAAACATAGGAGGGTCTTCAAAAGTATCAGGAAGTGTATCATCCATCATATTCCCACCTTCGCAGTCCGACTCACTCACATGATCATCCCTATTGGTCTCCTCAGGTTGGGCTTTTGTGTCGCTAGGATGAGATCTCTCAGACTCCTCAGATAGGGCGTTAAACAGCTGATCCAAGTGATTTTCCATGTTATGAAGTCTCGAGTGCATTGATTGATTATTCGCCTCAGTTGCTTGCATGATGTGCTTGAGTAATTCTTCCAGGTCAGACAGCTTCTCTGAAATGATCTCTTCCACTTCATCCTGTGGCTCATAGCTCGGCAAAGACATAGGAGTGGCTGAAACATGTGTGGTTGTGAGTTGTGGGGAGGAAGAAGTGGGGTATGCAGTTGCTCAGTAAGGATGGTCGTATGGAGGAATGGGACAAAGACATGAATAGTGACCACCTCCACAGAAGGAACAAATGCTATTTTTAGGAAAGCAATCAACTAATTCCTCAAGACTTTTAGTTCGAATGAGGAATTCCATAATGGAGTCTGGTTTTGTCCGAGAATATTGTGGATAAGGATACTGATTAGGAGAATGAGATTGAGAGTATTGTGTATTTGGAAGAGGGTAAGAATAGGAAGATGGAAACTTTTGTGGTGTTGGAGAATAATTTTGATGAGGTGAGTAATATTGAGGAGGAGGAGGAGGAGGAGTAAGGAGGGTATGGCGTATATGGTGAATATTCCATGGAGGTTTGAGGGTAAGGAATTCCTCCAGGAATTTGGCTGAATAGGTTCATCTCATGTCTCTTAGAAAAAAAATACCTGAAAGGTTAGCACAGAAAAATCATACGGCAAACAAAAAGAAAACTAACTACAAAAATTCTCGCTGAAATTAATTATCCCTCAAAACCGACACCGTCCCCAGCAACGGCGCCAAAAACTGATGTGTGTTTTCTCGCACTTACAATAGATTGTAATATAGTGGTGTAAGTACGAGTATCGTCTCCACAGGGACGGACAAAAGGGAATCAAAGATTAACTAAATTCAGCGATTAAAAAGAAATAAATAAAAATGTGTCGTGCGAGATTGGTTGCTGGAAAATAAAAATGCGAATAAAACGATTAAAATAAATGGGTTCTCTCTAATTAATGACAAAGGAAAACAGGGATTGATTCCGGGGTAACCAGATCAGGCCTAATTACATGAAATTAATTCAATATATTGAGCCTAGCTAATCATTACTAAGTTCTTACCGCTCTCGCGGCGTAGAGTACAATAATTTGGGGGACCAGGCTTATCTCTCATGCGACAGGATCCTAAATTATTGCCAAGACGAGCGAGCTTACGGCCCCTTAATCGCTACTAATCTCTTAGCGAACGATTAAGTGTGTGAATGTGTCCTAGAATAAATTAGATCTCTCTTAATTTATTCTACAAGCAATTGTAATTCTAGCGGCCGTTCCAGGTTACAAGAGATATCAGTTAAATTATTCAAACACAAATTAAACGGCATTCATGCAATTAAACCATTAAGAATCTAGCCATACATCATGATCAACCCCTTCATCAACCCCAAATCCCTAATTAAAACTACTCACAATTCATAATTGAAGAATCAACAGAATTGGAATAAAAAGAATTAATTGTCATTAATTAAAAAGGTGGAACTTACGAATAATCCCAAAAGATTGATGAACAAGGTTGAAAAGCCCTCTAAAATTCGTGCTAGACACTCTCTCTAAGCTCCCCCTTGAAAACGGGGGTTTACAGGCTGTTTAAATAGAAAAATCGGGTGAAATTTGAGCTGAATTGGGATTTCCGGAAGCAGGCACGGTTCCAGGGACGATCGTGCCTCCGGAGCAAAAACGCTCATTTTGGGCAGGCACGATCGTGCCTCCGTCCAGGCACGATCGTGCCTCCCTGGCAGTAACTTCGCGGTGCTTTTCTCTTCAGACACGATCGTGCCTGACTTTGAGGGCACGATCTTGCCTACTTAACTTCCGAATTTGGCTATTCTTTCTTCATGAAAGTTGTAGATAATGAAGTCATATATCCACCCCAATTTGCCAAATGTGATTTGAATCATCCAATCAAGAGATATGATCAAAACGGTGGAAGGTGTCTTTCTGAAATCGCAACAGAGATCATCTGACTTCATCGTCTGTTTTCACCTTCTTTCTCTCAGATTCTCGCAAAGGTGTCTTCATATCATTTGTATCCCTTGACGTTAGATTTCATACGGAACTTGAATCGTGTCCATTGGTTGTTTCTACAAAGAGATATGCTTGAACGATTGACAGAAGGTCATCCTGATCGTCGTTTTCAAGCTTCATTTATCTTCTTTTGATCTCATAACCAATCCTAGAGCTCTTTTGCCATCAAATCTTCACCGTAAACCTTCCGGTGACCTCCAAATCTCTCAATCCACTCTTCAATGCATCTCGAATCATCCCGATTTCTCCTCAAGCGCCGGTGCCGAACTCTAAATTCCTGATTTTGACTCCAAATGACACAAAACTCGAACCAACGTCCGGTAAACATAACTTGAGCTAAAATTGAGACTTGCAACACCTTAAAGCTAGGAAATGTTGGCTCTATCGTTCCAAAATCAACGTGTTGACCGTGTTGCTCCTAAATTGACCTCGTTGACTATCTAGCTCCGAGAACTGACCTGCAAAATAATCACTAAAAAGAACTAAAAATATATTAATGGGATGTTGGTCTTCATTACCTAAACTCACTGGTGGAGTTGGTACCCGGAGTTGGTACTCGGGTATCCCCACTAGCATTGGTAGCTTTTTGATTGGAGATATCTTTGGTCCTAGTACCCTCCTTCACACACCATTTGGGATTTATATTCATGATATCCCAACAATGTTCATACTTGAAAGATTGACCTTGATTAATATCTTCGTACATGCGCATTGCCTCTCGCCTCTGCAAACATTTAAAATAAAATGAAAATAAAAATACAACATAAAGCAGTAGATATACACACATATAGATGTACACAAATACAAAGTTTGTTCTTGAGCATATATACACACATTAACACACAATAAAAGAAGGCACATTGTAATATTTAAAATGAATGAGAATAAAAATATAACAACACAAAGTACAAATTACCTTATCAAAAGAAAATATTGTGGTCATCATACCCAACCCTCTGACCCAATGCAGATGCAGTCCATTTATCTACTGTATGCATGCAACCGAGTGCTAATTTTATAGCATTATTTAATAATGAAGTGTTCATATTATGTAATCACAGTGTGAGAAACCTAGTGGTCCTAGTCAAGTTACTGAGCAAGCTAATCATCCAGCAGTAAATTAGACAACCTTAACGGAGTACAAGTTCTTATATATGCTACTACAAAAATGACAATAACTTCTTATGCTGCTACATGTTCAAATCATTTGTTCATTTATTAAACTTCAGTGATGAGTCTCTTTTGTGGAAGGTCTAGATTCTAGAGGGGTGACACCTAAATCAATATGTAGTCATATCTCCATCACATCGAGTAAAAAAAAGCACCAAACATCACAAGATATATAATAATCTTAAAGAGAAATAAAGGAATCTAGGGTCTGCCTTACCTCCAATTGAATTGTGAAAAGAAGAAAAAGCACAAGGGTTTTAGAATACACTATCTATCCAAAATTTAAAAGAACTAGCTGCAGTTATAACATTCTAGGTGAGGCCTGAAATTGCTTGACTAGGCATCATCATAAAAATATATTCTTTATGAAATGTGAACCTCACAGTAAAAGAAGGCAGATTGTACTATTTAAAATCAAATGAGAATAAAAAAACAACAACACATAATAGAAATTACCATATCTTCTTGGCTTGCTCCACTCTTTGGATTCCTTTGTAGTCGCTCATATAAAGCATGAAATTTGTTCACTGCAGGTACGATCTTACTCCAACGAGATTGCAAGGCATTTGTTGTGCGAGACTCATCATAAGTTCCCATTTTCTCCCTCCAAACTTGGAAGATACGATTCCACATATTAGCAATTTTTTGATTGTTACCGACATCAGCATCAACAGAAATATATAGCCAAGCCCTTGTTAGTGCTATATCTTCATCTTTGCTCCAGTTTTTGCTGCCTCCTACTGTATGAGAGATACTCGTATTTTGTACGATCTTGTTACTTTTTTCTGGTGCTCTGCTCATTTTAGCAACATGACTCTCTAATGGAATATTAGAAGAGTTTGAAAGATCTTGAAAAGGAACTCCATACCCAAATGATGAGTGAGCACGTGGAAATGAAGGATGCATCATAAAATTCGGATTAAAAGTCATGTTTGATGAACCAAATGGGATAGATGTGAACATCTGTGACTACAAGTTAATCTGTGAAGTGCTGCCATGTTGAGAAGTGAGATCAGTTATCTCAGTGTCTTTATGAGTATGTTCATGGTAAGCAAATGGCTGCGATGTTGACTCCATCTATGCAGAAATCAATAAATTTACATAAGAGATTGTTGAAAGATATATGCCGATAACTCCACATCATTTTTGTATTTGTCCATCTGTGGTTATTTCTCTTTACCTTACTAAGTTACACTTATCATTCAAGAAATGACTATGAAACACAAAAGGTTGGAAAAATTTTCCCCAAATTCTTTGTAGTTATCTATTATAATAATTCTTTGTTATGATTGTTTTAGGCAGTTGAAGGTAGTAAACGGTTTATATTTATTTTTCCAATTCTTGACATTTGATCATTGAAGAGGTTTCATTACAAGGGAAAAAAACTTGCATCATGGTAAAATGACGACTTAACATAAACCATTCAATTTGATTCGAGGAAAATCATTTTCTTGGATTCCTAACTAGTGTTATCCAATTTGAGGTGAATTCTTAATACTGTCTTTTATCAACTCACAATTCGAAGAAGTTTATACGTTCATAAACATATATGTACACAAGATAAGACATATATCAACTCACAGTTATATACATATGTCTTTTTATACGTATATGTGGGTATAACCTTTTACATAACATATGTGTTGCTGTGAATTTGCAAGTCTTTTATCAACTCACAGGCTCGTCAAAGCAGTGCACATCTTAAGACACTCATGAGTCATGACCCCTTTTGTTGTAAAAAAAAAGTAAATCTTACTGGAAAAAATTCTTCCCTAGTTAACCTATCTGTGATCAATCTATCTCAGATTCTTAAGCAATATTAAACGTAAGTAATAGCAAGAACAAACAGGAGAGAACCACCGATCTGCAAATCTTAATGAACAAAATTCATCCCTTATTAACCTATCTGTGATCGATCTTTGATTGCTAAGTCATACTCAACAAAATTAATAGCAAGAGCAAATAAAAGGGAAGAGCAGATTTCATTCTCACCATGAATGGATTTCAATTGAAACCTGGTATGAACTCTATAAGAATTGAATCAAAGGGGAAGTTTAGAAAAATACCTGGAAGGCGGGTGAAGAGCCGCAGCGAAGAGCACCAGCGAGAGATCTTGTAAAACTGCTTTGACGAGCCTCTTTGTAGGCTGAAATTTTAAGATTTGGCGGCTGAAATTTTTAAGATTAGGCGGAAATTTTTTCTCTTGCCGCCAACAACTTGCCGGGTATATGGGAATTTTTGAGATTATGTGGGAAAGGCTCGCCAGAATAGAAAGGGAGATAGAGGACGTGCGTTTTCTCCCGTTCCAGCTCAGCAGCCCACGATATATTCACTTTTCCATTGGAGCAAGTAAATTAACCTCAAAGTCTATTTAGCTGATGTGGCAATTCATTTTTAAGCAACCCATTTTGCCATTACGGATGCTCTAAATTCCGGTCCAACAATATAGGTAGAACATATGATGTCCAAACTTATTTTCGAATATATAGTTGATATCCATATTCGAAATGGGTAAGTCAATACGACATCGATTTGGAATCAGTGTGGTAAATACCATAGGTTAAATAATTATATTTGTAAATTACATAACACAACTCGAAATGGCTTACGGGTACCATTTATCCCATATACAACCTGTATACGAATTCATACCCTAGATGTACATCAACCGTTATCACACGATCCTAACACGATTAGAATACGACATTTGAATTAGATATCCATGAATAGGGTGAACATACAGAAGTCTATTATACATAAGTCTTCATGCAATGGAAACAACCGTAATAGTGTAACTAATTTACATAATCTCGTTTGTTCACTGTTTATTACATATGACTGTAAACTATGTAAGATCACTTTGGACTGTGAAAGCCAATGACTTGCAAAAGGTAGCATAAATGAACATCCCATCGTAATACCTATATATTACCTGATAAAATGAACGTGAACCAATATAGATCCATTTTATATCCCGTACTTGACTTGTTTATGGGAAAAAAACACGATGGAATTCTACACTTGGAAGATCCATTTTAATCTTCACTGTTGTAAACTATTAATGGGTTAATAGGGGCTTATAGTTTTGGTTTAACCAAAGTTTAAGTTATACGATAGGCTTGTTCTGGGTAAAAACATATTATAATAGATTGGTACTAATGAAATTGTAAGTAAATGATCCCAAATTACACTAGATATGATGAAGGTTCAGAAAATCAATATGATTTTCTCAATGACTAGAGCTGTTTTGGATGATGCCATAGGTGCACTATAAGGACTAGAGCTGTTTTGGATGATGTCATGTTCTAGCATTTCGTTTACCAATTTCTCAATGATATCTTTCTGCAACTTTGGGAATCTATATGGTCTCTTATTAATAGGAACTGACCCAGGTTTGGTTGGAATTTTGTGATCAAATCCTAATCTGTTAGGTGGTAATGCTTTAGGTTCCTTAAAGAGGTTATCATACTGCTCCAAAATATCCTGAATTTCCAGAGGTAGGGAATTATTACTGCTGAAGATTGAATATAAGGAAAAATGTACCCGTTCAGTGTTTTCTAACTTTGGAATGAGCTGTAAGAATGTTAATGTGCACTCCTGTAAGTCAAGTTTGTTTAACTGAGCAGATTTAGTAACTCTCACATCATTACTTTCTCTTCCCCTCAGGACATGCCTTTTTCCCTTCCAAGTAAATTCCATCTTATTGTGTAAAAAATCCCAACTGATAGGTCCCAAAGTTACAAACCATCACTACTAGAAAATTGTGTTATAGTGACACTTGTCTAGTGACACTATCGCAAAAAGTGTCACAACTATACGATATATTTTTTTTACGATACAAAAATGTCATAAGGTTGTGACACTATGAAGTCAAAGTCGAATGGTGATACTAATTCAGATTTATTAATTTTATTTTTCGCCAAACCCAATAAAAGCAGTTAAAACCCTAAACATTCTCATCTATTCTCCCAATTCAAAGGCAGAGCTCTGGTCTTCTCCATCTTCCCCGCTGCTGGTCGCACCGCCGTCAGCAACACCCCCCCTACCACACTGAAGAGATCCATAGCTCTGGTAGCCTATGCACTGAACACATCGCTCTCATCTTATGATGGGTTCCATCCGAGTCCACGCAGGCCTTTGTTGGACCTGCGTTTGCTGGACTGAACATGTCTGGAGTACCAACCCTCGCCACTTCTCTACAGCCCCTGACTTCACAGGTAAGAAGAATCTCATCTTAAGAGAGACAATGGTTCGCAGCTGCGCCCTAAAAAGCACCGATCTACGTTTGGAGTGACTACATCTGTCACGTCGACTCCAATTGTATCGGTACCATTAAAAAAGTGAAGGCGTGGCAGCAACAATGTGGTGTCACTTTATAGCCTCCTTGCATATGCTTGTCCGGAAACCTTAAAAGGGTGAAATGCTAGCATTCCTTTTCACATTGGAATTCTGCCCTTGCTTGTTTTCTGTCTAATTTGGAAAGAAAACATATCACTATGCGTAACACAGTAAATTGAAGTTATGTGTTTGAGTTGTTTATGGTTTGGGAGATGCAGTTATGCCCCTTAGGTATTCGATGAAATGTCACAATGGTAGTGTACCTCAAAATTTGAGTGAAAATTATGTAGTTGCTAATAAACTTTTGAGTTGTTGCTACTACTTATGTAGTTACTAATCTCATACTTGCTTATCTTATACTTAGTATAGACCTCTCTGTTTTCACACACCCCATTCCAATTGACAAAAATTATTAATGTAATAGTTCACTTTGTTTTTGGTTTGATGGTTCTGTTTTTTTTCTGTTAGAACTTGTTGAGGTTAATATCCTATTGCTGGTTCTGACTTCTGATTGCAGCCTTGTAATGTCATCCCTTTTTTATAAATGTGAAATTCTTACAATTTTAAAATATCATTTAGAATACTTGGTAATACTTTTAAGTGGGAGACATATATTTATTAAGTGCCTCAATTACTTGGTATGTTTTGCATGATTATCCATGGTTCATTATGTAACTTTGGAGCTCCACTTATAAAAGATTAATTACAGTTGGTTGGAGAACCTATATTATTGTAATACACTAATAGTTTTTTTGAAGTAGTGCTCATTAATTTATAAAGCATAGGTTGGAGAAGAATCAGAAGATTAAATTTATAGGGTACAATAACTATGAGAGGTATATCTGCCAGTCTTCATTTTGGTATGTATAGAGCTCTGCACTTCTACTTTGATCTTGGAGTTTCCCTTTCAAAGGATATGAGAGATTGTTTTCTTTTTTCTGATAATTGATCGTCTTACATTGAACTTTCATTATTGGTGGTCTGGTTGTAGTATGGGAAAGTTTGGTCTTATGCTTAGACACATAAGCTCGGGAACTAATATGTGATTTAGCTTAGTTAAGCGGGATTCTAATATATAAAGAGTTTTGTTACAAGGGACATCACAAATTGGACTCTCAGGATAATAGCCAATTGGAACTTCTTCCTTTGTGTTTTTCCTACCAACATTAAGTTCTCATTTGTTCTTCTCTCACTGCCATTGCTTTTTTCTCCTGTTCAGCAAAGCTGCACATATTATTTTAGATACTCACAAGGATATGATACTGGATACCATTCCAACTCTCTCCTATGGAATTTCGAGCTCCTACACCTCTCTTTCCATCTCAAATGGTAAACCCTGCTTATCTCTAATCAATTTCTTATTGTTATTATTATTTTTTACAATAGAAGTTTTGACTACTTTCTCCCACAAATCTTCAAAAATTACTCAATTTTTTGATTTGTTGTAGTCCCCAACTTTTTGTTGGAGAGTATCATGTATGCCTCTATTTACATTTATGTACTTGTAGAATTGATTGCTTTTGTGTTAAACTTGATTACTAATTGTCTTCAATTATAAATTGGACATTTTTTAGTAAAGGGGTTTGTTGAAATAGTATTTGAAATTGTCGAATGAGTTACAATATCTTAAAATAGAACTAATACCTATAATCCATTGACTCTAATTTGATTTTCTACAGAATATTGGGTTATGAAGTGAGGAAGATCATGTTGAGACACCTGCAGAAGCAGGGGTGAGGGGTAAGTTGTTTCACATTTTACGGATTCAACTTTAAATTTTTATTATCTTAATCATTTTAGAGTTCTATGTTTTCTTTTATCATGTCATAATCCTCTCTGCTTAAATATAGCTATACTTTGATAGAGGGGACTTTTATTTTGTGCTAACTCTAGAGTGCAGAACAAGTGTGAGGTAAACTCTTACTTGCTATTGCCCCCAATGTGATGACTATACATGTGTATTTCTATTCTGTGTAAACTATTAACAATGCTCTGTAGATGATAGTAGTAAAACAAGTACGAAGTATATTGTATTAAGTTTGTATTAAGAATGCTCTGATTAAGTCTGTCACTTTTTAAACTATTTTATTATTTGAAATCCTATTTGCTAGCCTTTTTTCACCAGGCATAATATTCCAAGAGGCAGCAGTAAACTGGTTTCCCAAATCACGGCTTTAACAAAAATTCAAGTTCTTGGTCATGCTGGTAATTAACTAATACTCTGTAATACTTAACTCTGGACTGGATTGGAGTTCTATTATGTATGGTATTGTTTGGCAAATCTTTGTAATTCTCTTGCAGATTGAAATTAGAATTCACTACAAGAAAAGAAGTCATTTGTTGAATGGTTAGCCCTTTCTTCAATCTTGGATACTTTAACTATTCTAATATTTGAATATTTTATATTTATCGAATACGAATTTCTTGATCTTTTATTATCCATTTAATCTAATTTAATCATTTACATTTGAAAATGTTAATATTTAGTTTAGTTAATTGTTGATTTATTAGGACTAAGAGTTATTAATTTGTTATCAGTTACTCATCTACAAATAAACTAATGATTGACGTTCGAGTTTTAAGAGAAATGGCAATAATCCTAATCGTAGTATTACATGTACCTATGTACTTATATGCTTGTTAATTATTATACTTTTATTGAAATGCTTACAGTTGAAATTCGAGCTAATAGGAGAGTTAACTTAGAATATTGGACAGTTGGGCTATCAATCATATTTTAAATGCTCTGAAGGAGAAAAGAGTTGATATTTATATTGCTTCAAGATCACCCACTCCAGACATAGCCACAACACTTTCCTCGAAAAGCTTCAAATCAAGTCAATGTTTGTTCCCCAGGTGAGATTTAGCAGTTTTTTGGATAACTTAGGATTATCATCTCCTTAATCTTAGTTTGATTTTTTAATAGAAATGATATCAGTGACCATAAGTCAAAAAATCCACCAAATGAAAGGGGTGCCTTATAAGTTATAATGAAATGCTGTTTTCGATGATGAAGATAGGAACAGAGAGGCTGCAAGTAACTAAGAAGGCCTTCCACGCGTTCCCAACTTTTACCTTTCTCATACTGTAAGTACAAATATGAAAGGCCTTCCACGCTTGCAATTTCAGTTGATAACTTCAATATTTTGACGTTGATAATATTTGTATCGAGTTTGATAATATTTGTATCATTAAACCTTATTGTATAACCGAGTATGATAATATTTTCATCTTCAATTTCAGTTTTATCCTAGTGTGTTGTACATGAAATCCAAATGAAAGATGTATTTGGGCATGGACGTGGACAGAATGGTAGAGGTTACGGTTAAGGCCAGTTCCAAGCTATACGGCCAAAGTTCTTCTGGTCCTCGTGATGAGCATTTTCTTCTGAGTTTAACATTTCTTTAGCAATATCAATATCAACATGTTCTTTAATATGTAGAAGTGTTAGTGATAAGTTGGTATTTCAACACGCATTTGATGCGTGTTGGAGTCGGATTTTGATGATTTTCCTAGCTTTTGGGTATCGTAAGTCTCAATTTTAGCTCAAGTCATGTGCGCCGGGCGTGGGTACGAGTTTTGGCATTTTCAGAGTTGAAATCAGGTTTTTTAGGACTCGGCATCGGCATTTGAAAAGAGATCGGGACGAGTTAAGAAGCATTCGAGAGTGAATTTGCAGTTCTGGAGGCCACCGGGAGATTCACGATGATGTTTTGATAAAGAAAGAGTTATTGGATCGATCGAGTGGTCAAACGGAGGCTTAAAACAGAAGAAATCGAAGAAAATGAAGAAGAAAGGCCACGCACGGCCGTGCGTACAGGGACGCACGGCGTGCGTGCGTGGCAGTAGCGGCCAAGAAGAGTAATGAGCAACGCACGGCCGTGCGTCCGGGTACGCACGCCGTGCGCCCAAGGCGAAGATTGAAGAAGAGCTACTGGCAGCAACGCACGGCCATGCGTCCGGGTACGCACGCCGTGCGTTCAAGGCGTTAAAATGGCGAAAGGCTACTGGCAGCAACGCACGGACGTGCGTAGGGGAACGCACGCCGTGCGTTGCCTTTTTTTCACGCGCACGTCCGTCGGACGCACGAACGCAACGCACTCCGTGCATAGGCTCCGTGCGTACCGCGGATCTGTCCTTTTTCGACCCAAACTCATTGTTTTCTTTAAATAAGGCCTCCCTAACTCCGTTTTGGGGTTCGGAAACCTAGAGAGAAGCTTAGGGACGTGTTTTACAGTGTTTTTCCGCTATTTTGTTCAAGACCCTGAGATTCTTTGTAAGTTTCATCTTTTTAATTAATGACAATTATTTCTATTCATCCCAATTCTGTTGATTCATCAATTATGAGGTGTGAGTAGTTTAATTAGGGATTTGGGATTGATGAAGGGGTTAATCATGATTGATGGCTAGATTTTTGTCGGTTTAATTGCATGAATGCCGTTTAATTTGTGTTTGAATAATTTAATTGATATCTCTTGTAACCTAGATGGCCACTAGAATTACAATTGCTTATAGAATAAATTAAGAGAGATCTAATTTATTCTAGGACACATTCACACACATTTAATCGTTCGCTAAGAGATTAGTAGCGATTAAGGGGCCGTAAGCTCGCTCGTCTTGGCAATAATTTAGGATCCTGTCGCATGAGAGATCAGTCTGGTCCCCTAAATTATTGTACTCTACGCCGCGAGAGCGGTAAGAACTTAGTAATGATTAGCTAGGCACAATTAAATTCAATTCATGTAATTAGGCCTGATCTGCCAGAAATCTGGTTAACCCCGGAATCAATTCCTATTCCCTTCGTCGTTAATTAAGAAGAAACCAACCTTTATTTAATTTGTTCATTCGCATCAGTTTAATTTTAATTTCACCAACCAATCTCGCACGACGCATTTATTTTATTTCCTTTTAATCGCTAAGTTTAGTTAATCTTTATTTCCCTTTTGTCCGTCCCTGTGGAGACGATACTCGTATTTTACACCACTTTTCTACAACCATTTTAAGTGCGAGAAAACACTCATCAGTTAGTTTTTTAGCTGTGCCGATTTGATGTGTAAAATTTCCACTTGGATAAAAACTTCGTGTTGTAATAGAATATGTGAATCTTACAATTTGAGTTAATAAATGAATATTGACCGCTATTTTCTGCAAGTGTACAGATCGGTCGTAGTAAAAACCTAGAGTATTCTAGGGTCGATCCCTCAAGGAGCGCAAATTGAACTCTAATGGTTTAAGTTTCTATCAACTAAGTAAAAAGAAACTCAATTTGATTTGATTTTGATGAAATAAGAGCGAGAGTAACAGAATTAAGAATTAATCAAGTAAGTAAACAATAGATAAAACGGCCCTCGGGATTCGGGTTATACACTTGATATTAATAGAAAATCCCAGTGTTGGTTCACACAATTAAAGTGACAATTGGTTCTAAATTATGCTAATACTCCGTCGAGATATTAGCGTGTACCGGTTAAGCTAGTGTTAATCCGTCAATTGAACACTAAACTTAACTAGTCAAAAAGCAACAATTAAAATTCACCACAATTTGCTAACTATGTCTAGTTAGGTAAATCATGTTTATTTTGCGGGTTCCAGTATCATGCCTCACCCATCGGTGTATCACACGATTCCTAACAAGAATTAAGCATGAACTCAATGCAAAATTCATTAGTGAAATTCATAAAATAAATTTAATTGGAAAAATAATCTGTCGATTAAAATCGAAGAACCAATCACAAGAGATAATCACTTAACACCAAGCTTTAATACCGAATCCCTCGGGATAAAATTCTAGCCCAAAATCATACTTGAAGTAAAGAAGAAATCACTTTTCAATAGCATGGACATGAAGGTAGAAGTCCTGAAATTGAAATACAAAAACAAGGAATTCTGAAATTAAACTAACTAATTAAAAGAGAATGAAAAACCGAAGACGATCGATGAAGGAGCAGCTGGATTCCTCTTCCTTTCTCTCCCGTTTTCCCTTCCGTCCTTCCTCTAGTTGCTTCGCTGCTGCGTTTTATAGGCCGGACTGGGCAGATTTTTGGATCTTCCTAATTGGGAAGATAATCCCCAACGGCTACAGAATTGATTTCTACCGGTGCTGAAATTCCGCTGCTCACAAAAGGAATGTGTAGGCTGATCAAGGCTTGAGGTTGAACTTTCCAATTATATTCTTAGGAAGAGTATACGACTCAATCAGATAGCTAAAGTGCTGATTTGAAGATTTTTATCCTTCCATTATCCACTTCTTGCAATTGGGCCCCAAATGTTAAGATTCCATCTGATTTCATCCCTTCCTAATAAAAGAGTAAGTTAAGTATACATTAGCTATTAATTTCCCAAAAGTGAAATAAAATAGGCCCAAAATAACATGATAAAGTATCAGAATTGAATAATAAAATTGGGCCTATCAAATTCCCCCACACTTAGGGTCTTGCTTGTCCTCAAGCAATAAAAATGAATGCATGCAAAGCCCAACTTGCGCACAGCCAGATTACTCAGAGTTCTCCCAGGAAGACCCTCATGGTCTGCTTTGCTTACTTACCTCAGGAATGCCAAGTTAGAATCAACTTTAGTTACTCAAACACATTGCTAGTATAAACCATATGACCATGCTATTCTTGAAGAATTAAAAGAAAGCGCAGAATCTGAACTTTAAAACTCAGCTGGACACTAGTACGATTAACATCAAAAACGAGTTGGATAGCAGCCTTCTAAGGAAAACACAAACTGCACTTCAAAAGTTAAAAGGCAAGTGTTTCTTTTTCATAAAATTATTTCATCATTCTGCAGTATAAACCTTGCCCAATAAAACACAATTGAATTGCAGAGCTGCACTAACACTTTTTTTAAAAAAAAATGCCCAGCACACTTGGAAAACAAGGAGAAAGCTCAAAATTCAGGGATATTTGCAAAAAACAGTAGAACAAGAGTAGCTCAAACAAACTATTTTTAAATGTGAAAATGGTGAATAGCAATGACATATTGAAAAAAAACTAGCATTATGTTTGAAACTAACTAAAATTGGTGCTAACAAGGCATTAAACTCATCATTGGCCATAAAAGGTCCACCCCGGGGAAGAATTCAAGCTCAAAGCTACTGAAAATTAAGGTCAAAACCAAACAACCTAATTCCCCCACACTTAAACACAACATTGTCCACAATGTTAACAGCAAAAGAGGAAGGGAAAAGAGTACTCCCTCAAAGTATTTAATCAGAAGAAATCAGCTGGAGTTTATCCAGACTATGCTTCAGCACCAGATCATCTTTTATTCTGCAAACAAAAGAAAAGAAAAAAAAAACAGAAAACGAAAAAAATAGAAACTGGAAAACTGAAAAGTAAAGGATAAGATAATGAATGTTGGGTTGCCTCCCAATAAGCGCTTTAGTTAATGTCTAGAGCTAGACACTTCAAAAAAAAAATACGTCAATCCGAATGGGGGATGTTTGACTCAGCATTAGGAACTGTCTCCCCACGAAAAAAATGCTTCAATCTTTGTCCATTAACCACGAACGGCCTCTTCTCGCTGCCCTCGATCTCAATTGCTCCATAAGGATGGACTTTGGTCACAACAAAGGGTCCAGACCACCTGGATTTCAGTTTACCTGGAAAAAGCTTAAGACGAGAGTTAAATAGCAAGACCTCCTGCCCTTCCTTAAACTCCCTCCGTAGAATTTTTTTATCATGCCATGACTTAGTCCTTTCTTTATAAATTCGAGAGTTCTCGTAAGATTCTCGACGAATCTCATCAAGTTCATTCAACTCAAGCAATCTCTTTTCACCTGCAGCTTTCAAGTCATAATTCAAAGTTTTGACAGCCCAGTAAGCACGGTGTTCTAGCTCAACCGGGAGATGACAAGACTTACCATAGACTAACCTGTATGGAGACATCCCTAAGGGTGTTTTATAGGCAGTCCTATAAGCCCATAATGCATCAAGCAACTTTAATGACCAATCTTTCCGAGTTGAGTTAACCGTTTTTTCAAGAATAGACTTAATCTCACGGTTGGAAACCTCTACCTGTCCACTTGATTGTGGATGGTAAGTGGTTCCAGATTTGAGATGACAACCATATTTGGAAAGCAATGATAAAAACTGAGAATTTTTAAAATGCACACCATTATCACAAATGAAAGCTCTAGGTACACCAAAGCGAGATATGAGAGACCTAACAAACTTAACCACGCTTTTTGCGGTATTATCGGGTAAGGCAACTGCCTCTACCCATTTAGACACATATTCGACTGCAACAAGAATATAAAGCTTACCATTGGAAGGAGGAAATGGACCCATAAAGTCCAGACCCCACAAATCAAACAATTCAACTTCAAAAATACCTTGTTGAGGCAATTCATGCCTCTTACCAATGGTTCCAGTACGCTGGCATCTATCACACGCCATCACAAAGCTCCTAGTGTCTTTAAAAAGAGTTGGCCAGTAGAACTTTTGCTGCTGTCCGCTCAGCCCCATGATGACCACCGTAAGGCGAGGAATGACAATCGTTGAGAACCTGGACCATCTCTTCCTCAGGCACGCACCTCCTCACAATTCCGTCACCACATCGTTTAAAGAGCAAGGGATCATCCCACATATAATGCTTGACATCGGCAAAGAACTTCTTTTTCTGGTGGTAACTTAGGTCCTGCGGAACAATGTTAGAAACTAGAAAATTCACATAATCAGCAAACCAAGGAACTATAGATTTATCAATGGCCCAAAGGCCCTCATCTGGGAACTCATCATTTATTGGGTTCTCACAAATAGCAGCTTGTGTATGCTCTAAACGAGACAAGTGGTGAGCAACAAGGTTTTCCGACCCCTTTTTGTCTCTTATTTCTAAATCAAACTCCTGCAGCAGTAAAACCCATCTTATTAGTCTAGGTTTCGCATCTTTCTTCGATAGAAGATACCTCAATGCAGAGTGATCAGTAAAAACTATCACTTTTGATCCAACAAGATAAGAACGAAATTTATCAAGAGCAAAAACAATCGCTAGAAACTCCTTTTCAGTAGTTGCATAATTAATTTGAGCATCATTCAAAACCCTACTGGCATAACAAATAACATGCAATTTCTTCTCTCTTCGTTGGCCCAAAACTGCCCCTAAAGCAAAATCACTCGCATCACACATTAATTCAAAGGGCAAAGTCCAATCAGGAGCAACTATAATAGGAGAAGAAGTTAAAGCTTGTTTCTAAACATTAAAAGCATGCAAACAGTTTTCATCCATCAGAAAAGCTGTGTCTTTTACTAGTAAATTACAGAGAGGTTTTGTAATTTTAGCAAAATCTTTAATAAACCTTCTATAAAAACCAGCGTGTCCTAAAAAACTTCTAACAGCTTTAACGGAAGTAGGAGGAGGTAACTTTTCAATAACCTCAACCTTAGCCCTGTCAACTTCAATTCCTTGGGCAGAAACTTTATGTCCTAGAACAATACCTTGAGTGACCATAAAATGACATTTTTCCCAATTAAGTACAAGATCAGTTTCCACACATCGCGCTAAGACACGTTCCAGATTAGTCAAACAACAATCAAAAGACATGCCAAACACAGAAAAATCGTCCATGAAAACTTCAATAATGTCTCCAACCATATCAGAAAATATAGACATCACACATCTTTGAAAAGTAGCAGGTGCATTACAAAGACCAAAAGACATTCTTCTAAAAGCGAACGTACCAAACGGGCATGTAAATGTGGTTTTTTCCTGATCTTCCGGAGCAATAGGAATTTGAAAATAACCAGAAAAACCATCAAGAAAACAGTAATATGCATAACCAGCTAGGCGTTCTAACATCTGATCAATGAAAGGTAGCGGGAAGTGATCTTTTCGGGTTGCAGCATTAAGCTTTCTATAATCTATACAAACCCTCCACCCAGTCACAGTCCTGGTAGGTATTAATTCATTTTTATCATTACTAACAACCGTAATACCCCCCTTTTTCGGAACAACCTGAACTGGGCTAACCCACGAGCTATCTGAGATAGGATAGATAATACCTGAATCCAGCAACTTATGGATTTCTGCCCGCACAACTTCTTTCATATTAGGGTTAAGACGTCTTTGGGCTTGCACACAAGGAGTATGATCATCTGTTAATAAGATTTTATGCATGCAAATCGAGGGAGATATACCTTTAACATCAGCAATAGACCACCCTAAAGCTGCCTTGTACTTCTTTAAAAGAGATAGCAACATTTCCTCTTCTCCATGCTTCAAATAAGCATAAATAATCACTGGAAAAGTATTATTATTTCCAAGAAAAGCATATTTCAGATTCGAAGGAAGAGGTTTAAGCTCAAGTTGTGGAGGTGATTCATGTGAGGGAGGAAGGGGAGGGGTGCTTCTACCTAAATCCTCATATTTCTTTCTAAAGTTACTGGTTAATGAACCTCGACCCTCTAAACTCATCACACAATGAGAAAAAACAGAATCTTCCTCTTTTTCATTCAAATTAAGTGCAATACATGCTTCAAGAGGTTCACAAAATGAATGCTTAGCAAAAGTTTCAGAAACAAGAGAATCAACTGAGTCTAAAGCATAACAAGAATCATCAAAAGCAGGGAAATTAACAGCCTTAGTAATAGTAAACTCCTCTTTTTCAACCCCAACCCGAAAAATTAATTTTCCTTGAGGCATATCAATCAAAACCCCGCCAGTTAATAAAAAAGGTCTGCCCAAAATAAGAGAAGTATCAGAATCAATTCCTATATCAAGCACGAGAAAATCTGCGGGAAAATAAAATTTACCCACTTTAACTAGGACATCTTCAACAACACCAAGCGGATACTTAACCGACCTATCAGCCAGTTGTAAAGAAACAGTAGTGGGCTTTATATCAACAATTCCAAGTGTTTTGCAAACAGTTAAAGGCATCAAATTGATACTAGCACCTAAATCACATAAGCACTTATCAATAACAACATTACCAATAGTGCAGGGTATAGAAAAACTCCCTGGATCTTTTAACTTTGGTGGCAGTTTGCTCTGTAGTATGGCACTGCACTCTTCACTTAACTGGACAGTCACAAACTCCTCGAGTTTCTTCTTGTTTGACACCAACTCTTTGATATACTTGGCATATGATGGCATCCTAGCAAGTGCTTCAGCAAATGGAATATTGACTTGCAACTTCTTAAAGATCTCTAAGAACCTCTGAAAATTATTATCTTGGTTCCTCTTACGCAGCCTCTGTGGATAAGGAATAGGAGGTACATACGGCTCTGAAGGAACATATGACTTTTCTGCCTCGGTTTCAGCTGGTTGAACCACGTCATTCTTGGTGAATGTCGAGTCATCTTGATCTCCGATTACCTCTTGTGCAGCAACTTGATTTTGGACAGTTTTTTCCTTGACTGGAGCTCTCTCATGAATAGTGTTAGGCAGTTTTTTTCCGCTTCTTAATGTGACTGCCATCGCGTCTCTTGGATTAACATCAGTGCTTGCTGGAAGCTTGCCTTTGTCCTTCTCTGTTACCATTCTAGCTAATTGCCCAACTTGCACTTCGAGAGTATGAATCGAAGCTTGGTTAGATTGCACCACCTTGTCAATTTTAGCATCCATTTTTTTCATGGTTGCATCTTGATTCGCCATGTACTGCACGACTAATTCTTCAAATTGCGGCTTTTGTGCTGGCATTTGGATCTGATATGGAGGCATTACTTGTTGCTGAAATGGGGGAACTTGTGCTTGCTGGAACCCAGGAGGTCCCACTGGCCTAGCATTGCCCGGATCCTTCCATGAGAAGTTAGGGTGACTCCGCCAACCTGGATTATATGTGTTTGAGAAGGGGTCGTTCTTTTGCGGCTGATTTTGCTTATTTCCATAGGCTCCCATATAGTTCACCTCTTCACCAGGTTGTTGATTCATACCTGCATGAATACATAAGTTAGCATTGTGTCCAATTGAACCACAAAAAGCACATACCTCGCTGCTTGGACTCTCACGAGTCATCAGCAACTTCATTTGATTATTTAGCTCAGCCAATTGTGTGGCCAAATCAGGTTGGGCGTTCACTTCGTGCACAAGCGCCCTACGACCTCTCATCGCCTTCTGTTGAGAATTAGTAGCCAAATTCTTATAAATGTCCCATAACTCATTAGCATTTTTATCTCCTGTATAACCACCAGAAGCAGTATCTACAAGAGTTTGGCAATTCGGAGTAAGACCATCATAGAAAAATTGAGTTAAAAGTAACACAGAAAACTGATGGTGGGGGCACTGGTTCAAAAATAAATTAAACCTTTCCCATGCTTCATGAAATAATTCCCTTTCCCCTTGAACAAAATTGCAAATTCTACTCCTATAATCCATTGTTTTCTGGTTAGAATAGAATTTGAACATGAAAGCATCATAAACTTGCTCCCAATTGGTTAGAGAGTGTTCTGGCAAATTTAACAACCACTGTCTAGCCTCACTTTTCATGCAATAAGGAAAACATCTCATACGAAGCTCATCTTCGGATAAATTATTTAAAGGAAAAGTTTGTACCGTACTATAAAGCTCACGCGTGAATCCTAGAGCATCTTCAGTTCCCAGTCCATTAAAGGAGGGAAGCATATTAAGATGGATATTTTTCAGCTCATAGTTTCTTGCGGCATCAGAAAGTAGAATACAAGAAGGGTTGGCGGCTATTACCGGACGCTGGATATCCCTCAAACGTGGAGGTGGCGGGACAACAACTTGCCTATTATTGTTATCGTTCGCCATAACTAACCTTCTTCTTGCTCTTCTTTGTCTAAAAGTACGTTCAATCTCAAGATCTAAGGGTTCCAAATCTGCGTTAAGCTGGGTTCTGGATCCCCTTAATCGCATAAAAATCTGCACTTACTGAAAAAATTGTGAAGCATAATGCAGTGATAATAAAAGAGAATAAAATGGAAGAAAGAAAAACAATAGTTAACAGAAACAAAACCAAAAAGACACAATTTAAGCGCTCCCCGGCAACGGCGCCAAAACTTGACCGCTATTTTCTGCAAGTGTACAGATCGGTCGTAGTAAAAACCTAGAGTATTCTAGGGTCGATCCCTCAAGGAGCGCAAATTGAACTCTAATGGTTTAAGTTTCTATCAACTAAGTAAAAAGAAACTCAATTTGATTTGATTTTGATGAAATAAGAGCGAGAAGTAACAGAATTAAGAATTAATCAAGTAAGTAAACAATAGATAAAACGGCCCTCGGGATTCGGGTTATACACTTGATATTAATAGAAAATCCCAATGTTGGTTCACACAATTAAAGTGACAATTGGTTCTAAATTATGATAATACTCCGTCGAGATATTAGCGTGTACCGGTTAAGCTAGTGTTAATCCGTCAATTGAACACTAAACTTAACTAGTCAAAAAGCAACAATTAAAATTCACCACAATTTGCTAACTATGTCTAGTTAGGTAAATCATGTTTATTTTACGGGTTCCAGTATCATGCCTCACCCATCGGTGTATCACACGATTCCTAACAAGAATTAAGCATGAACTCAATGCAAAATTCATTAGTGAAATTCATAAAATAAATTTAATTGGAAAAATAATCTGTCGATTAAAATCGAAGAACCAATCACAAGAGATAATCACTTAACACCAAGCTTTAATACCGAATCCCTCGGGATAAAATTCTAGCCCAAAATCATACTTGAAGTAAAGAAGAAATCACTTTTCAATAGCATAGACATGAAGGTAGAAGTCCTGAAATTGAAATACAAAAACTAGGAATTCTGAAATTAAACTAACTAATTAAAAGAGAATGAAAAACCGAAGACGATCGATGAAGGAGCAGCTGGATTCCTCTTCCTTTCTCTCCCGTTTTCCCTTCCGTCCTTCCTCTAGTTGCTTCGCTGCTGCGTTTTATAGGCCGGACTGGGCAGATTTTTGGATCTTCCTAATTGGGAAGATAATCCCCAACGGCTACAGAATTGATTTCTACCGGTGCTGAAATTCCGCTGCTCACAAAAGGAATGTGTAGGCTGATCAAGGCTTGAGGTTGAACTTTCCAATTATATTCTTAGGAAGAGTATACGACTCAATCAGATAGCTAAAGTGCTGATTTGAAGATTTTTATCCTTCCATTATCCACTTCTTGCAATTGGGCCCCAAATGTTAAGATTCCATCTGATTTCATCCCTTCCTAATAAAAGAGTAAGTTAAGTATACATTAGCTATTAATTTCCCAAAAGTGAAATAAAATAGGCCCAAAATAACATGATAAAGTATCAGAATTGAATAATAAAATTGGGCCTATCAAATATGGTTGTTTTTTATTTTGTTTAATATTTTGTTTATTTATAAATATCAGTATGATTTTACTAATATGAGATATTATAATCTTGTTAGTAAATATCAATATGATTTTATTATTATGGATATACACACACATGATACCAATGAGTCATAAATATGTATGATACCGATTTGTCAAAACATTTTTTGATATTAATGTATCATTAGTTCAGATGATATCTAGGAGTCATTAAGAATACCAACGCAAATGCATCACAGTTCTCAATGATGTTTATATGTCATGATTTTGTGACACAAAAGTGATTTGTTAACAGTGACACTAAATTTTGTGTCACTTGCCCCGTTTGTCTGTGACACTTTCAGTGTGTCACTAAATCATTTAGTGACACTAATTTAATGTCACTATAAGTCATTTTTTTACTAGTGCATTGAATACCTAATACAAGGTCACAGAAATCCAATGGTAATACAAAACAATCAGTTGTGAATTCAGTGTTTTGTATCTGCTTCCAAGTCAGCCCCTTGCAGATTGACCTGACAAACATTCTTCCTGCTGCTGTGTTTACAGCCATTAATTGAGTTGAGTCAGTAGGGATTCCCATCTTGTGAACCCATTTTTCATCTACAAAGTTGTGGGTGGCACCAGGATCTAGGAACACATGCAAAGCTTTGTTCATATAACTTCCTGTAATCCTCATGGTATGGAACTGCCTGCCAATTGCCATAGCATTGAGTGACATTTCAGCTTCTACCAAATGTTCCCCTTCTATTTCCTCCACATTTACCTCTTCTTCATCATCCAATTCCATCATTCTAATTTCCATTCTTCTGTGTTTAAGGTGATGTCCGGGAGTATAAGTTTCCCCACAATACATGCATAATCCTTTCTCCTTTCTTGCTATCATTTCTGCCACAGAAGTTTTTTCTGAAAATTTGTCCCTTTGGAATGCTGAAGGGTTAGGTTGATTGCCTGTAGGAGTAGGTAACAATGGTTTTGGGTTATGTTGTGGGAAGTAGGGTTTGAATGTTGCTGAAGAAGATTTATAGGTATTTGATATGGTTCTTGGTTGAGTATTTATAGCTGAAACTGTTTCATCCTGCAGTCTGGCATATCCAATTGCAGAATTCAGACTTGTGGGATGGAAAGCCTAAACAAAGGGTTTTAAAGTGTCCTTTAAACCCCCAATGAAACTGTCTAGGAAGTAGTCAGAAGGCATATGAGGTTTAACCTGCAACACTTGGGACTTTAATGCTTCAAAATCATCAATATACTCCTCCAAGCTTCCAGCCTGAGACAATTTATTAAATCTTCCTACTACCTTCGTACTCAATTCTGATCTAAATCTCGCAGTGACATCAGTAGTAAATCTAGTCCATGTAACATTATCCTTCCCAGTTATGTAGTCCTCAAACCACACAACAGCTTTTCCAACCATATACAAAGAAGCAATATCTACTCTTTTGCTATTAGCAATTTTGCACAATGAGAAATACCTCTTGCATTTGTTTAACCAGTTTTGTACATTGGATTCATCAAATTGAGGAAATTCTATCTTAGGAAGAATTTTGATAGAATCGTGTGAAAACTCACCTTTTCCTGTAGAGAATTCATGATCCGAGTCGCTTCCTTCCTCACTAGACTCATGTATACGTACTGGTTCCTTCTTCTTTGGAGGTATCAATTCACTCATTTTCTGAATCAACACTTCAATTTGTTGAGTAGTTTTCTGCTGATTGAGTTCTAATAACTGAAATTTGTGTTCCAGTGATTTGAACTGATCTTCCGAGTTACTAGAATCTTGACGTGTTTGCACCATTTTGGAATTTGAGCAGATTCAAGGAAATTCCGAGCTCTGATACCAATGATGAAGGTTCAGAAAATCAATATGATTTTGAGAAGCTTCTAAGAACTGCAGGGATTTCAGATGAATGGGGAATAATCCGAGCTGAGTTCTTAATGTAATAGCTATAGAAAATAGAGAGATGAGAGAGATGAAGTGGATGGAAGATTGTATTTGCTTCTCAATGAGTTCATACGTACATGTGTTCACTTAATATACAACCATTGGCTAACTAATTTGTTAAAACTGAATACGGGTATTCTTAACTAACTATAACAAGTAGTTAGTAAAGCAATATATCCTGCATCAAGATAGGACTGGTATTATACACGATTAGTATAATACGTATACATGCTTATATATGGTTCGCTCTTAAATCTGCAGCCACGATTTATATGAATTGATAATTTAATCAATTAGTGCCATATAATCTACAGAATGGCATATTAAAGATTTACGAGTTACCATCGTATGCCAATTCACTTTAGTCGTGCATGCACTGATCAGGCTTTTCGTCACTCATTCCAAAAGCCCATTTAGTATGAGCGAAAACGTGATAAGATTCTTACACCATTAATGGGACCCCATAATGGACTTAATTGTACATTCTTCGTGAAAATTAACAGTAATACATACGGGTCTACTATTACGAGATATGGTCACAACAATACGGCTAAAAATGAGATCATACGATGTATAGTACATCGTAATAATTTATCTAATTACCAGAAATTGGACCCTATTCATTGGCTATACTTGTGGTCATGGGACTTGCAAAGGGCACTTCAATCCCAATTAAGTCGGTCAGGGCCGATCCTAAGATTTTTTTTATCTGAGTCGAACGGTATAAAAAGCCCGTTAAGCACCATAAAAAATTTTATGGGTATTAATAAATATAACTAGAAGAATCATAAGCAAAAAGTAATTGATTATTATTAAACAAAAACGTATGAGTTAAATAAATGTTTGGATGATGATGACTTGATGATGACTTAGTCGGTTATGAACACAGTTGCATACACTCCAACGACGAAACTATGCAATAGGGGAAAAAACATGTCTGAATACACTACATATGTAGTGTATTCGTAACCGACTTAATTACCCACAAATTGCCTAATTTCTACGGATTAATTCATTGTATCTATATCTCAGTAATTTCGAAAATGGATTCATACCATTTTGTGTAGTAATCCCTTGATATGTCAATTTAACCTATTATGGGTTTATAAGGTCTATACTCATTGACCCATTGCCGGTGTTGAATTAGTAGTCTAATTCAAAATCATTATTAGTAACCCATTTACACGGTTATGGGTGATAAAGTCAAATATAAGTCCTGATGGTCACTGTGATAATACATTGGAACGTATACATTTTGGACAATTATTCAAATAACGACAAGAACCCATTTTCATAATAGACTCAATTAGCCAAGTGTATTTACCCATTGTATACACGACCAAAATACTTATACTTGTATTCACGAAATACCTACAATATCGAGTATTCCAACCGAGTTGTATGTTTTTATACTAAATAATTGTTATTGGATATAGTATCATATATTTATAAAATATAGGATACTCAAATTATGTGGATATGAGACACAAAATACATGATGACATTAGAGCAATATAGACAGGGCTATCATATACACAAGTATTCCCAAGACATTACTAATATGAATTATTCTCCATTTTGGACATTTTAACCCTATGTAGGGAATATAATACATTTAATTAGTGCTACCGGTTTATAATACCATTTGACCATTTCTCTATTCAATGGTCAAATGGATAACTTTTACAATATGTTATCCATGAGATACCAGACCAACCGTTATCCACCCTATTGGAATACATAATCGAATTGTACAATGTCAATCACAATGGCTGTACAATGTATTCAATTAATCCCTAATATTTATAATTGACAGTATATGAGTAGACAAAATTATTGCTACTTTCGATCCACTTATGAGAAGTTTGCTATTGTAATCAACTGTTTAAAATAAATACCAATTCGTCGTAGCTTATAATTTGATTTCTAGAATACCTGAAAACAGGCTCGTGACAATCTTGGAATGTGATTTACCTACTGGTCATAGAGTTGCACTCAATCATAAATGACTCGGGTTTACCCTTGAATTATATAAATCATACGAGTTGTGATCTCATTCATCGAGATCCAACCCCTGAATACTTGGCGTATTGGATAAACCTATAATTATGAGCTAGAAAATGTAAATTAAGCCCTATACAGTGGAATTTAAGTAGTATATATGTCGTGAACAAGGGATTCAAGAGAATTATGACATCGATACCTATCAATAATTAGTAGAGTTTGAATTGTGTAGATAATTCACCGAGCCATTAAATTTACTTATAGTCAATGGGTGTATACGGATTTTGTCAATTGAAAAACTTTACTAATTTAGTTAGACTATGATAGTTGGTTTACAACTATATGCGGATATAGGATATAGGGACCCATACTGATTGAGTTAATTACTTTCCCATTATTAAGTTGATTGTACATAATTCTCAAAGTCTCATTATGGGTTATTAATACATAGTATCTAATTTACAAATCTTATTTGGCTTACCATGTATTTTGACTGGGTCCCCAATTTTATATAGTCATACAATGCTCTGAATTACACTATGCAACCTATGGCTAAAATGACATCCTATGGGCATAGAAGTTTTAAATATTTATAAAACCCATACTTGTGAATTACAGTCCAATGGGAACTATTCATACAAAGTGGTAAATAGATTGAAATGTGTGTGGTCTATTTAAATAACTAATACAATGTATCAATATTTGACCGAGTCCAAATTATTAGTGTAACTAATGAGATCGTAAGGGCAACTCCAACAAGCACCAATTTCTACACCAAAATGGTGTATTTGCCAAAAAAATGCTCCAATAGCAACATCATCTTTAACACCATTTCACCATTTTGGTGGAGAGCCTTTGGCTTTACGCCATATATGGTGTACACCAAATTCAACACCATCTTCTTTTTCTATTTTTTATTTATTTCAAATGTGACCCAAAGTTTTGATTATTATAGTTTTGACCCATTTTTAAAACAACAAATTAGGATGTTTTTACTTGGACTGAAATTTGTTGGTCTGGTCTGGTCTGATTTGGTCTGGTCTGATCTGAACTGATGTGGTCTGGTCTGATTTCTTCGTAATTTTATAACTATCTAAGTCTAGTCTAATCCGGTCTGATTTGATCTGGGACAAATTACAGTCCAAATAAAAACATCTGTATAGAACAACAAATTAAAATTATTAATTTGATACAAAATAACAAAAATATAATAACATTTGTGAAATGCGTGAAAATACATATTAAAATGATGTATTTTAATTAGTGAAATGCGTGAAAATACATATTAAAATGATGTATTTTAGTTTGTATGTGTGAAATAATGTGTGAAATATCAAAATATTAAATGAGGGGCTAATGTATAAATATATGATAGTTAGATACTTAAATTGAAAAATGCTAAAAAGTTAGTAAAAAGAATAAAAAGAGAATATTCTTTTTTGGTGATGAAAATGGTGTAAACTGTTGGAGATAAAATACTGTTTGATGTGATGTTTACACCATTTTAGTGTAAAAAATGGTGTTAACTGTTGGAGATGGCCTAAGTCTGAAAAAATCATCGTAACTTATTAAACACAATTCTCCTTATCAATCGTGTTTACGGGACTAATTCTTATTTACAATATTTATCGTTTGGCATTATCATATTTCAATGAGTCACTAAACCCATACTTGGTTTATAGTATGCATTTAGGATGTCGTATACATAGACGTTTTACACAGTATGGTAAAACGTGTATCGTATAACATCGGTAACTCCCATAAATTTCAAAAATGGATTTAGTACATAATATTAGTGATTTCCCTAGTGTGAAGACAATTCGTATTCAAGCTATGTTAGTAACTTAGACTAAAGTCGTATACGGAATGGACTAAGTAACAATTCATGAGGTATACTCAACTTATACCCTTGGGTATAATTTCCCTCACCATTATTACAAGTGGGTGTTAATTGATGTAGGAGAATTAACACGTACTATAGTTTTTGGGATGTACTCGTAAAAAGTGATGATTATAGAAAAATTCATATGGTAAATTTCAATATTCGTATAAGGATGTTTTTACTTGGACTGTAATTTGTCCTAGACCAGACCAGATCAGACCAATTCAGACCAGACCAGACCAGTTCAGACCAAACCAGACTTGGATAGTTATAAAAATACAAGGAAACCAGACCTTACCAGACCAGACCAGTTCAGACCAGACCAGACCAGACCAGACCAGCAAATTACAGTCCAAGTAAAAACATCCTAAGTTACAAATACGAATCAGGGTATTTATACTGTCCCATACAGTATATCGGGATTGTGTAGAATATATAGCCAATATTGTTGGGTTATATTCCAACTATTATAATACACAACCCAGTTGACATTATTAAATGTTATGCTAATCTCATTAATATAAATAGCTCACTATAAACCCACAAGTAATACCGTCTAGGATGAATAGTGATATACTCAGAACTTAAGTATATGGGATTATACTATTACCCATACCGGTATATACTAATTGGATTATGTGACTGAAGTAATAAATTATATACTTCAAATAGTATGGAGAAAGTCATTGTTAACCTCTGGGTTGAACCCATTGAACTTATAAATGAATGGACGGTTATCTATTTCAAAACTGTTACAGTCGTATTGGCTGTACATTCACCGTATAGGTTTAATGGACTTGAATGGATATATCTCAGCGTATTGTACCCTTAAATTCTATACACATACTGTATATGTGTATATCGCAAGTTTTACATGGAAAGGGTCGACATTACGACAGGTTATAATGTTAGAACCGGAGGATAACAATGGTAAAATATAAGGGTGTGAAAATATGGCTGAACCGGATATCACTTCTAGTCACGTATCAAATACGCTTTCCTAAAAGTTTACTATTTATCCTTAATTATCACAGTAACCGGGTTACAAGATAGAACTTTTGGGATAAAAAGAAGGTGTACAGTGTATTTTGGTTACTCACAAAATAACACTAAACAAGTGATATGTATATAAAGTGGTCTAAATATTTTATCACTATCACTGCAGATAATAGTAATTAAATAAGGCAATGTAAAGTGACCAAGATAAAAATGTTCTACCCTCGTGTTCAACAAACTTC